AATAATATTTTCCATTAAAATGTTTTGTAATTCTTACATAAATATCAGGAAGATATATTTGCATGGAATAAAATTAAAACAATTTTTATCAGCATTATACATTTTTAAATTGCTCAAACAGCAATCTTCGATCTATTACACATTGATTTTTTCACCAATAAATGTTCCCTTTGTTTTAACTCTCCAAATTGTACTGAAAAAATTTGAGAATATCGTTATAAGTTTTAGAAACATCGAGGTCTTGAAAGAGTATCGATGATTGTAGCGAAGTAGGATATAGCCTTTGCCCCTGAATGGTAGACAACTCGTCATGCATTGCTGTTTGGCAGGTACCCGAATGCTATTGAACTTCCTCGTTTTGTGAAAAGCGAAACATCAGGGCATGACCAGTTGTCAACGAGAGGAAAATGTGAACTGTGCAAGTTCCACATGTTTATTGGCAAAAAATTTAATTTGTGACACCCCTATATTCCCCCCAGAAGTGTGTAACACTTGTATTTGAAATGTTGAATGACGCGCCGTCCGGTCCGAAGGGCCAAAAGCGTCGTGCGGCGCGGCGCACTCCCTCGCCTTCGCCTTCTGCGGCCAAAGAGACAGAAAACGCTTGCGCGACGCGCATCCCGACGAGAAGCAGCCCCCCCCCCCCAGCCGGAACTCACCTCCCCTTTCGGAGTGGAAGCCTCCGTTAAATGCGAACCATGTCGTACGTAAAACGTGCCTGAGGACGACATGCGCGATTACCAGGTACCTTCGGCGTCGTCCGGAATCCTCCATGCCGGGTCCGGTTCGGCTTTGTTATTTAGTTGTTGTTTCTTTGTGTTTTTGGTCGCGAATCGGTCACCCTAGGACCAAGCGAACGTGCAACTGGACCCACCGAGGCCCAGTCATATTTCTCGGGGGTAAGTACACGTGACTTCTTCTTTGGGTGAATCAGCATTTCTACGCAGAATCCATTTTTACCTCCCAAGGGGAGTTTGTTTGCCATGAGGGGATGAGGTACGAAATGATGATGATGATGATGATGATGATGATGGTGATGATGGTGGTGAATGAATTGACGATTACTACTATAAAGACACACACAAACATCCAGACCCCGTGCGGGACTGGAACCCGCGACCCTTCAGGCACAAGGCAGCTGCGGCTCTTCAGTCGTAGCGACCTCCGGTACTCGGGACGGCTACTACGTTATTTAGTTTATTATTATAATTTATTTTTGCGATTTGAATCAAAATCCTAAATCCGTTTTGCTTCTTTTTTTCTTTTTCACATAAAGCCAAAACCTGAAATGCAGCTTTCGACGTAGCGGCCAGAGCAAAACGAAAGCCAGATATGATCTGAAGCGACGGTCCTTGAGGAGCGGGTATGTCTGTCCCGTGGTACAGGAGATAGGAAGCTGGAGGCACGGCGTGCGCGCTCACCACACTCCGCTGAACGAGGCTCCGCCGCCGTCACAATTGCGGGGGAGGGGACTTCCTCGCAGAGCGGCGCATGCAGGGTTCATGGCGCGTTCAGGGTTGATGAACGGCGCGGGGAAAGCAACCAACGGACAAAAAGAAATAAAACGCCCTTCAAACAGCTATATTTTCTTTCGCGCGTCTCAAATATGAAAATTCACTTGTTTATTCACCGAAGTGCACTGCTACTGCTTTGTGGGCAAGTTTTTTTTCTCGTGTGCAGTTTGAAAGGAAATCGTGTATTTTCAGTACAGTCAGTTGGAGGAACATGGATTGGAAATTTAAAAAAACATACATTCGAAGACGACATAGAACATTTTCTTCTTACGAATTTACGAACTCATAGAGAGCTACACAGATTTACAAAACTACGTATCAGTGATTGCCAAATTGTTATTCTCATGTCTTTTGACTAATACAGAACACGATCGGTCAGTGGAATTCGTTCCATTAAGTTTTGCAATATTCTTGATTAAAAATTGAACCTTTAACGAACCTCTTCATTTTAATAAAAAGGAATAAAATCTCTGATATCGCATTTTAACTTCTCTGCCAGAGTAATTGTCCATTTATCTACTCTTAAAACGACTGAATGTTTGACAATCTAATCTTCATATTTACTGAGTTATTAAACTATTTTTTTAACTTTAATTCGTAATCCTCCCCCACGTACCTTACCTATTACTACCTGTTTTAAAAAGAAAGTACGTAATATACCGAAGAAAGTACAATATTTTCCTGCCTGCATCATTCTTGTCGTCCTTGTCACGGTCGTCGTCACAGTCATCGTTGTATACTTCACAGCTTATAGTTTCGCCTCCAGAAATATTTGCATTTGTTCGTTTCTTGCACCGCGAGTCGTCCCACATTTTCCTATATTTACACTTGCAAATTATTATTTAAGAAAGGTGATGCGAGCGGATATTATGGTAATGTAATTCAGATGTAAAATTATTCAAATTAAAATTTGAATTCTCATCAAGCCTCATTACAATTCTCTGGTGGAGTTAAAGAGATCTTAAATATCCCGAATATTCCTATAAACATAATTTAAAAATAATTTTCGAAAATCGTACATCACAAACATAAATCGGCCTTTCTACAAGAGAGCATCAAACACATTAAGGACTTTATTTTAGTCCTTTTTTTACACGGGTTCCAAACAGAATAAAAATGCTTTGCCACGTGTTGATTTCAAAGTTTATCCCAGTGCATTATTGGCCTAGATATTTTAAAAAAATATACAGTAAATGTACTGTTTCCCACATCAACAATCTTATCTACACGACCCTACCCACAAGCGCAAAGGGCTTCGGAGGGACAACTTCACTAGAGTACTTTCACGCGGATAAAGTAGAATGCGCGGAACTAGCAAGACACCGGGTGCCGAGAGAATGCAGAGAGCAGAATTCGCACTCAGAATGTTTACTCTTGATTTGATTTAAATTACAAAAACCTGTCATTGCCCTCAAAAGCTGATGTAGTTATAGGCATATTTTGTCTTTTTTAAATTAACTATGCATTGTATACCGTTGTTAACATGAATATTGGTTTCCTTTTTTTGGTCAGTGCAGTTTCTAATTTTATAGAAACAGTTATGCAGCAGAAATATTTTACTTGGTATTTACACTTTGTATCAATTTTAATTGTTTAATGTCGTCTGCCACTGAAATATTCTGACACCGTTCTAGTGAAGCGAAGGAGGTAGGCCAGACGTAATTGTTTCGCTTTTGCTGGGCGTTCGACGCCTTGCCTCGTCACGTGGGCCAACTCGACCAGTTGCTCTCCGTGGCGCCTTGTAGAACTCTGGTTTTTCTGTTAAGAGAAATGTCTTGAACACGCCGTGTCCACAGAGAAAAAGAAAATCTCGTTACTGCAATGATTTTGCACGAATCCATAGCGCTCTTAGAAAAATGTTTATTTTAACAAAAAATTGCTTATTATGACATGTTCAACAAGTGCTTTATAATGAGTCTGTTGCATCAAAATTTTATGGAATTTAAAGATAGGATATTGTTTTCTTGTTTGTACAAGTTTATATTAAAATCTCATTGAAAACTAGAAATATATCAGTCAATCTAAACCTACAAATGTACGATTGAAATGCAACGGGCACGTTACCTAGGTCGTGTTCTGTTGCTGAGTGGAAGAGGATTCTAGCGGCCGGCTACTCTGATAGGTAGTTTTCCGATCAATAACAGGCGAATGCCGAAGCAGTAACCTCTCAAAGGACCAAGGACTGCGCGTAATCTGTTCTTCCTATACTTTCTTCTTTTCACACCCCTTACCCACACTTAGACTTACATGCACTACACTACCACATATGATGGGCCACCGGTTGGGAGCTTGGGGCGCCTTCCCACGTCGCCACGGCGCCACGCTTCCTTCCAGCAGCCGAGCCCTTCCGACACCGACACCGCCGCAGCCACGGCCGCACCGCCGCCCGCCGTGGAAGGGGGTGGGGTCTGGAGGGGTAGGTTTCGCCGACCCTCCGGCGACGACGAACAAAGGGACCGGAGCAGGTAGAACGCTGCGGCCGCGGCGCAGTGGGAAGGCTCCCATGAAAAGCTGTGTTCTGCTAGCGGTGGCGCGTGGCCCCTCCTCCGCTTCGCGTAGCTGGAGTTCGGCGTCGGCTGCCGCAGCAGCCGCCACCCGCTACACGTGGGAAGGCCTCCATTCAAACCAATGCTCTGCAACGCGCCGTGCTGCTCGGAAGAACACCGCTGTCGCGCCGTGGGAAGGCGCCCTTAGAGCTTGTCCCGGCTGGGGCGTGCCCTGCTGGTGTGAGATACTTAGTTGTGGAAACCCCCGCTAGCCGACGGTATGTCGGCGCCAGACTCACAATCCAGCGGGGCAAGATCACCGCCTTCAAACAAAACAACATGCACTGCAGCCTTTCCAACACCTCGTTGTCACTTTCCATTCCCCGCGAAATGCGATTGATGTGAGACAAATTCAAACACCAGTACTAAGAGGTGAGAGGAGAAAGCTGTAAGCATTTGTGGCAGATCGATCCTTTACATTAATAGACAATTGGCTAGACGAAACTAACAACATCAGTAACGTTTGCAAATCAATGTGTATTTTGTGAGTGCGTGTGTGTATGCCTCTCAGTTGCATTTAAAAACTCGAACATGATCACTGAGCAGTACTGCTTTCTTGTCTCTTACGTTATCCAACCAACGATGTATGTTAGTAATTAATAACGCTAAGAGTTAATTTTACATTAAGTACGTGAAAGTATCGTTTCTTGCACAATCAAGATTGAAATTTTTTGCCGAGACTAAAAGATCGAGGCAAAAAACAATCGAGTTCGCGCAAGAAAGAAACATTTCGCTCACAAAACTCGATTAAAAATGCTTTTATTACGGCTCATTATTTGTTTCGTACGGCTCGTATATTGTTTTGTGATGTGAGACAAATTCAAACACGCGTAGTGGTACGTAGAAGCACTCTCTTTTATACAATCATAGAAAAAACCATTTCAAATCTGAAGCCCCGTGACGGTTGCAGTATCCACATTAAATAGTGTACTCTTTGGAGGACACCAGTTGATAAAGAATCACTAGGCACCACTCAAAAAGAGCACGACAATCCTGAGACAAGAACTTCAGGGCCACATCTCGCGTGCAAACTAAGACAGGTGCAGCAAGGAGGCTTGTGGGCGCTATGAACAGCCCACTTGTCACTCTTCCTTCAAAAGTTCTCTGCATTAGAAGGCTGCCTACGTGCCCCCAAACGCCGACACAACATGTCTAATAGAGGGCGGCGCCCGAGCTTCACATGCGAGGAATGGGAGCTGAAATGCTGAGAAGGCCCGCCAAGTTGAAATGCGGGCACGTGAAAGGTCAGACGTATTAAAGTCTCCTAACCACAAAGGGACACTAAACGAAATCGCGCGTATCTCCCTAAGTTAAAACCAAATAAGTGTAGGAAATTAACTTGAAAATATTCAAGAGTCTTCTTCGTAATATGATTTTATTTACTTCTGTTTTTCCTTCAAGTTTATTTCAAGTAAGACACCAGGGAAGAGTTTCTGGGGTATCGTGCACGTTCACAATGTATCTCAGATCTCCAAAGTTTGTGGAAAATCTTCTTAGAGAACGGACCAAAATATTTTGTTGTTCATTACTTCGGTTGTCACATGCAAGGTCATAGGGTACATTTAATGTATCAAAAGATGTGCTTCTGGTCGCTGCATATTGGATCTCCGATGCTTGTGGGAGAATTGTTGCTCAATGGGCCCCATAAGGATGAGAGATCGGGCTGTTGCGAGCCCTAAAAAGAGAAGTGAGGCTCGTATAGGGCGGAGGAATTACCGGGATCCAGCTGCTATTTATCGGAGGAAACCACTGAAAAGACGCCCAAGCAGTGGCCTCATTCAGGCAGCTGCAGCCGAATTATTATGTTTCAAGAGTAAGGTGGTGTTGGAAATTCAACTAATGAGAGTACAGTGAGTTCCAAGGTGATACGACAACTAATGCGGCAAAATCTAACATTTTCAAGAGGGAAGGCAAATTTGATTTGCGCATATGTGATGAATTCTTGAACGTCATTTGTCATGATCACGAGAATTAAAAAATAAATTACTGTATAAAAAGAATTACACAATTCGATTCATTAACACCTTCTTGTGTAATATTACCACAAACATACAAGTCAATATGCGTCGAAATAAATTAGTACTGGATATAATCCACGTGTCATTCTGAGTGTAAATTCAAATCCAGTAACGTCTAACAAAAACATATGTTCTTAATTCATTTATGGAAAGTAATTGGTATGTGAAGCGAGAGGGACAATGGAAAACGAAAACGAAGAAGTGCAATTTGTTATATGAAGCATAAAATGAGTGATTTAAATGTTGACAATGAAAAATAATTTACGATTATAAGTTGATTTCTATGAACTAATTATTCAACGCAATTGCTCTAAACTTTATACCCAATGTAAGCCACAATTCAGTTTTTCAAGGTACCATCATTAATTTTCTGAAATTTACTTCTTGAAGTGGAACTAGGCTATTTAAGCTGCGCATGCAGTAGATAATAGAGTAAAATGAGACTTGACTCGTTTCAAAAGTCAAAAGTTATACAAATAAGTTGTCATACTAGCGAACCTAGATGGTAATATAGTAGCCAAGTTAAAGATTGAGATTTTTCTTGAACCATGTAAGTAAAATATATGGACAGAGACTTTATCGTTTCCACAAATTTCGTTTGTGATGGTACGTAGTTGAAATTGTGCACATTTTTTTTATTTTATTCTACGATTTCATATATACTACAGTCTCTATTTACGTCTACGCAAAAGTGTTCCAGACAGTCAATTTTTCGTACATTTTTCTCAGCATCCTTTAGAAGCCTTCTATCGCAAACTTTTCAATGGAAAAATGTTTTCACGTGTGTCTTATCTAGTAGAGATTAGTTTAATTTTTGTATAGACTATTTTAACTGGTTTCTAAAATGATATTCTAAAAATAAAACTCTATATGAACTTACTTTTTTCTTCATTTTGTTCTCTTAAATACGTTGCAATGTCTTGACAGGTCTGACATTGACATTCTGACAATGAATAACAGAACGGTTATTCGGATAGAATAAATCAAAAACCAAAATCTATATCTTTATTTTCCCTTATACCAAACGTATAAAATAGTATATTAAGCAAAAAGTTTATAAATCAACATTATAAGAGAGTTCCATACGTCGTATTTTGTATAGCAGCTCAATAAATCTACAAGAAAATCAAAGTTAATTTTTGGAAACAACTTGATTGTGTCGTCACAGGTATTTGACTTCGGTGCGGAAAATGCAGTTTCCCGCTACCTCCACACGATTCTCTCGCTGCGGTTGGCTGAATGTGTGATGACGCAATTATTCGTTCCGTAAACGGCAAATACGTTAAAATCTATCTAAGTCGTCCAAATATTAAACGTTTTCTTGTAACATAAAAGGTTGTCTATGGAGCTGGAATACAAAAAACCGTTTTACGCCACTATTTATAAAAATAAAAATTTGTTCTCGCCATGGCAAACGTCCATTGTGTTTTATCTCCCTCAACCAGGAACAGCTAACCAGATAATTGTTTTGTAACAACGAGCTTAGCTACCGCAAGGTGTATTTACGATTGCAATATAAATTTAGGATCACTTAAGCTTTTTTTATGTTACTGTGGTAATGAAGTAAAAACATAAGGTATTTCCTCTTTACTCTAGAGAATTATCCAACCCACTCAGTCAGACAGGAATATTAGTTTAAATGAGTCCAAAAATTAATAAAATTGTTTATAATATGTCTCTACTGAGATCACTCGTACATTGACCGAGGTAGAGAGTAGACATCATACAATTGATTCCCAGGTTATATATTATTCCTGTTTCTATAGGTTCACGTAATATCGGCACTAACAACCGAGTAATTGTGTGTGAGTTAATAAAATAGTTTTTATCAATATACCTTCGCGGGAAAAAAGTAAGATACCGGATGGCAGTCTATCTAATGACAATGACAATGTCAAATAAAATAATAAAACCTTTCTATTAATTTCTCTATTTGAATTGCAAACAAATGAATATTACATGCAAGAAGCTTTCTCTTTAATTACAAATCACTACAAATTAGCATACATGCACGTTACGTGGTTCCCTATAACTTCACGGAATGAATATATTGCATACTTGCCGAGTGCATCATTCTCTCTGGAGTGCATTCACACAGTATACAAGCTCGAGAACGTATTTTACTGCGACAGAATAGTGAAATTACCATTTAGAAGTAATGTCAAGGATAAATAAGAATTGTGTGTCGTCGCGTCTATAAAATCTTTACATTTTTGAGTAGACATTTATCCATCAGAAGATGTTTTTGTTAGTTTTATTTTAGGCAAGTTCTTATGAATCATGATATCTTTGATTTATTATTAATCAAAAGTTGAATTTTTTAATTCATATCACAATTTTTGCATTCGACACATGATCTCTTCCCCATCTACTTACTAATTCGGATAAGGAAGTATGTCGCAGAAGAAAGTAGGCTTGGCAGGTTTTTTGTCAAGTAAAAGGAGTTAAGTCGGAACAAATATCTTAGATGATCTTGAGTACCCAATATAATTCATTCTTGTCCATCATAAAGTCGTCAGTGCATAAGAAAATTGATACATCTTCAAAATTGCCATTTTGTAGGAGTACGAGTTTTACTTTCTGTCAATGCTGCGGAAAAGCGATTATTGACAGCTGTCAAAGAGGGAAGAAAGAGATACAGAATGAGGTAAAAGATGTATGACAGGAGATTGAAAATTCAAAAGAGCGAATATAGAAGAATAATTTTCTGATATGACGGTCTTAAGGAATTTCAATTTAAATCTTAATATATAACAGGTGAAGACGCACAATTCAAAATGCGCTGAACACAATATATAATACAAAATATTCATATTCAAAAGGCAATTTTCGTAGGCATTTTGAAACATGCAAATAAAAATACAAGTGATCTGCGAAAGTCGGTTTAGGAAAATGTACGTAATTATACGACTATGGGCCGGTTTCACCAATAGCCGAGTAAAGTTGAGAGTAGTTACCCGAGAGAAACCATTTACTCTAAGATAGTAACTCTCGAGTAGAAAATGAGCGTTTCACCATGCTTCTACAGGTTATTTTACTATAGAGTCCATACTCTCCGATTTACTCCGCGAATCAGCTTAACACACAATATTTGAGAGCGATTCAAGAGGCTGTGAGCGAGAATGACGCTGGGAACCGCTGCGGACCAACGCTAACCTTTTATTAATTCCTTATATTGTATCAATTATTTCAGTTTCGGAGTTCTTGGCGTCATTATCATGTGCGGTGTTATCGGGATTTGAGTTGACATAGTTTATTTCTTAGTTTTTGTATCTTTATTTCTTAATAAATATTAATTTTTCTTCCCTGGAGATGAGTTACTATTTTGTTAGCAATGCAGAAAAATCAAATTTGCAGTTCGTTCACCGATGGCGATGCAAATAAATTTTCTGTAACTCGGGAACGAAAATGTTTAGTTTTTCAAATGTTGCTGATCTCGCGTTTTTCTAAATAATTACTATTTTTATTATTATTATTATTATTATTATTATTATTTGTTTTATTTGTTAAATTGTATTTAAATTTGAACTATTTATAGTTAAAATGTTGGAAAGGAATTCTGGAACTCAAGAAAACGTGCGCAAATGAACTCCCCCATACGTCACATACAGTTTTAACTAAATAAATATTTTTTTTTAGTACTTGTAGAGCCTGTAGTTACTATTTTTCCTTTTGTTGTCGTATACGGTATGTAATAACTTTATTTCGTGTCCACATGGGAGAAAAATAAATTTACAGGTTCTCTACAAGTATATGTACAATGTATCTGATGAAGTTAACAGATGATTTGGTCAAACATAACCTCGTGACAAAATCTCGATCGTCATAATTGAAACCAATCCATTCTCTTCCGCACCCCTTGTCTTCGCACTAGTGGATAATATTCCGAATCATTGCTGGAATCGTCTTTAAATTCAATCATTCGTAATCGTTGAGCCGTAACAACACTTCGGAGATACATCCACGTTGAAAAGTGAATTTACTCCGTACTTTACCCGACGGATTTTCGCAGTTGAAAGTTACTCTCGAATTTACTCTCGTGTAAGCAATTT